GTTACAGAGAGGGAGGGAGGCAAACCATAAGAGACTCTTAAAATAGAATTTAGGGGCTCCTGGGTGGCTCAGTCAGTTAAGCCTCCACCTTCAGCTCAGGTCACGATCTCACAGTCTGTGAGTTTGAGCCCCGCATCCGCCTCTGGGCTGATGGCCCAGAGCCTGGAGCCTGCCTCCGACCCTCTCTCTCTGTCCCTCCCCCATTCATGCTCTGTCTCTCTGTGTCTCAAAAATAAATAAACGTTAAAAAAAGAATTTAAATACAGAGAACTGAGGGTGGGGGGAAAGCAGGTGATGAGCACGGCGTGTAGTATGGAAGCCAATCTGACAATAAATTATATATTTTTAAAAAACCTCTATTCTTGGGCAGCTTACGTTCTAGTGGGGAGAGACTGCAAATAACCATATTTATTTAACGACTTCACTACTGACAATATCCAAGTTGCTGTGAAAAGGTACACATTTTTTAACACATATCCTTTTAGAGCGCACCTGGCTGGCTCAGTCAATAGACCAAACGACTCTTGATCTTGGGGTTGTGAGTTCAAGCCCCATGTTGGGTGTAGAGATTATTTAAAATAAAATCTTAAAAAAACAAAAACCAACCCCCCCCCAACATACACCCTTTTAGACCTTCATATTTTTAAAGGACAGATTACTTAAACCGGAAATGCTAAATCAAAGAAAATGCCCATGTTTTACTTTACTAAATATAGGCATTGTTTTCCAAAAAGGTTTGTGACTGCATTAGAGATTATCTTTTAACTTTTTATTAATCTGATGGACAGAAAATGCTAATTTAACCTTAGTTCCATGATTATTAAGCAGGTTGAGCATATTTTCATGTGTTTATTGGGTATTTGCATTTTCCGTGATTTGCCTGAGTCTATTATTTTATACTAAACAGAAAGAAAAGTGCAGGGCATCCACATCCCAGGCCCTGTGCTTGAATCTTTAACTTAAATTATTTGATTTAATCTTTGCAACAACCAGCATATAGTTCTATAAAATAGATTCTGATCCAGGCCTGACATCAAACATCACGTTATTTCAACCAGTATCGAGTCTGATTCCCGAATATAGCAGACTTTCTAAGTATAAAGGCAAAGTAAGAAAGTATAAAGGAAATAATGGATAGCTACCAAAAATATCATTTCAAAAACTTACTTATTAAAATTTGTTTAATGTTTATTTATTTTTGAGAGAGAGAGAGACAGAGTGTAAGCAGGGGAGGGGCAGAGAGAGAGGGAGACACAGAATCGGAAGGAGGCTCCAGGCTCTGAGCTGTCAGCACAGAGCCCGAAGCGGGGCTTGAACTCGCGAACTGTGAGGTCATGAGCTGAAGTCGGACGCTCTACTGACTGATCCACCCAGGCAGCCCCAGCATTTCAAAAATTTAAAGGCAAACAAAAAAATGACAAAATAGTATTTGCTACAAAAACGACAGCATTGTGATTTTTAACATATAAATAATTCAATGCAAAATAAGAAAGCCCCTAGACTTCTGCCACTCCTCCCTCAAATAAACCCAACATACAATGGTGGGACAGGTAAAAGACAGCTGCTACTGATACTCCTGTTCTAAAGCAGAGAAATCGGAAACACACAGCAGTCACTGGTTTATATTAATTCTGAAATCCATCCAAGCGTCTGTTGCCTGTTTATTGATTGGGACGCCATCTTGCTCCCTGGGAGTGGCCATCTGGGACTTTTTCCTCTGCCCGGTTGGCCTTTGTTCCTGTTCTCTGAGTCATCCTTCCTTTTTCCATGAAACGTGGTCAATGTTTGCAATATTTTCAGCCTGCTTCACGCCTAGAAGTTTGGGCACCCAAAGATCTCAGTTCATTTTGTACAATCTTTGTTCCTTTCAACTGAAAGTGATATAATTACTTTAACATCCTTGTGGATTTCTTATGTTTCAATTTATAAAACTATTCCCTTAAGTTAAATTACCCACAAGTCTCTTAGATAAGTCCTTCTCTACCTTGAGTCCCCATGAAGCCGTTGTGCAAAAGTGCCTTTAAGAGTTTTAGAAGCCCAGGGCACCTGGCTGGCTCTGCTGGTAGAGGATGTGACTCTTGATCTTGGAGCTGTGAGTTCGAGTCCTCTACGTAGGGTGTAGAGATTACTTAAAAATAAAAACTTTAGGGGCGCCTGGCTGGCTCAGTCGGTTGAGTGCCTGGATCTTGATTTTGGGCTCAGGTCATGATCCCAGGGTTGTAGCAACTGTGCCCCGTGTCAGGCTCCATTCTGAGAGTGGAACCTGCTGAAGATTCTCTTTTTGCCTCTGCCCTTCTCCCTGACTCTTTTTCTCTAAAATTAAAAAAAACAAAACAAAACAAAAAAAACAACACTTAAAGGATTTTTAGAAACTCTATTGTTTAACAGAGATTATTCGTAAGGCTTTCCCTAAAATCCTTAGAAGTCTGATGAGCTCCAGAGTATACCATCTTAAAATATGCCACTTTGGGGCCACCTGGGTGGCTCAGTCAGTTAAGCATCCGACTTTGGCTCAGGTCATGATCCCGTGGTTGACCCCTGCCTCGGGCTCTGTGCTGATGGCTCAGAGGCTGGAGTCTGCCTCCAATTCTCTGTCTTCCTCGCTCTCTTCCCCTCCCCCACTCATGGTCTGTCTCTCTCTCTCTCTC